ATACAGCAATGAAATTAGGACATTTTCAGATAAATTGTAACCAAAGGAATTTGTAATAATCAGCCCAGCTTTACAAAAAAATACTAAACGGAGTTATTTGGACAGGAAACCAGCAAACAACCTGAGATTAACATCCATGACAACACCACCCAGAACTCAATTCAGAAAGAAAAGTAGCCGAAGTTAAACAAACCTACAAGACTGAAAATGTAAAACCAGAGCTATCAATTTATACTGAAGACAACTACAAAAAAAAAAGAGGTCATAGAGCACTTATATAACTTTCAAATGTTAAGGAAGTCACGTAGATGTCAAGACAAAATTGTTCACTGCTGTTAGATGCCTTTTAATAAGTTCTGACTCATAGTGACCATATGCCCAACAGAACAAAACACTGCCAGGTCCTGTGCTAATCTCATAATCACTGTTAAACTTGACCTCTTTGCTGCTGCCACTGTGCCACTCTATCTCATTGGAGGTGTTATCCTTTTTCACTGACCCTTCACTTTACCAAGCTTGATGTCCTTTTTCAAGCACTGGTCCCTTCTGATAACACATCCCAAGTATGGGAGACGAACACTCACTATCCTAGTGTCTAAGGAGCTCTCCAGCTGTACTTCCAACACAGATCTATTGTTCTTTGGCAATCGATGGGACCCTCAATATTCTTCTCCAACACCACAACTCAAATGAAAAAATCTTCTACAGTTTTCCTTATTCATTCTCCAACTTTCACATACATATGGGGCTATTGACAATACCATAGTTTGGGTCAGGTGCATCTTAGTTCTCAAACTGACATCTTGGCTCCTGAACATCTTGAAGATGTCTTGCATAGCAGATTTGCCTAATGCAATACGTCATTTGATTTTTGCAGTCACTGTTTAATTATCTTCAGCAAAATTTTACTTGCATATGATGTTAATGGTATTGTTGGATGATTTCTGCATTCCGTCAGGTCATCTCTCTTTGGAAGGGTACAAACATGGATCTCTTCCAAATAGGTTGACTGGAAAGTTATCTCCCAAATTTTTTGGCACGAATGAATGAGTGCCTACAGTGTTACATCAGAGTGTTGAAGGATTTCAATTTGCATTCCATCAATTCCCAGAGCCTTGTTCTTTGCCAATGTCTTCAATGCACCTTGGACTTTTCTTTCAGTATCATCAGCTCTTGATCATATGCTACCCCTTGAAATGATTGAACAGCATTTGTTTTTCATACAGAGACTCTGTGTAGCTCTTCCATCTTCTTTTCATGTTTTCTGCATCATTCACTTTCACTATTTTGCCCATAGAATCCTTCAATATGACAAGTTGAGTTTTTCTTCAGTTCTTTCAGCTGGAGAAATGCTGGACATATTCTTCCCTTTTGGTTTTCTAACTCCAATCTTAGCACATTTCATTGTAATACTCTACCTTTTCTCGCTGCCCTTTGAAAATTTCTGTTCAACTATTTTACTTCCTCATTTCTCCCATCCACTTTAACATCTCTATGCTGGAGAGCAAGTTTCAGAATCTCTTTAGACTTTTTGCTTTCTTCCCATATGATGCTCTTTTTTTTTTTTTTTTTAATGTTTTATTGTGAATTATGTGATCGTTTACATCCATATGGTGTTCTTGATGGCATCCCAAAAATCTTCTGGTCTTTGGTCATTAATGCCTAATGCATCAAATCTGTTCTTGAAATGGTCTCTGAATTCAGTTGGGATATGTTCAAGGTCATATTTGGCTCCCATGGACTTTGTTTAAATTTTCTTTAGCTTCAAACAGAAAAGTTGCATATTAGCAATTGATCTACAGTTGGCCCCTGGCACGATTGTGGCTGATGATACTGACTGTTTCTTCCCACAGATGTTGTCAGTTTGATTTCTGTGTATTCCATCTGGTGAGATCCACGTGTACCGTCGTCTTTTACGTTGTTTTAAAAAGGTATTCTCAGTGAACAAGGCTTTGGTCTTGCAGAATCCTGTCACGCGAGCTCCAGCATCATTTCTTTTTACCATATTTTCCGATTACTGATCCTTCCTTTTTACTTCCAACCTTCACATTCCAATCACCAGTAATTATCAATACAACATCTTGATTGAATGTTTGATCAATTTCAGACTGAAGAAGTTGGTAGAATTCTTCAATTTCATCATCATTAGCATTAGTGGTTGGTGTGTAAATTTGAATAATAGTTAATAATAAGGGTTAATGAGCTGGACTGCAAAGTCGGTTTGAACTGCAAGATTGGCGATTCACGCTCACCAGCCGCTCCTCGGAAACCCTATACAGGGTCGCTATGAGTCAGCACTGACTCAAAGGCACTTCACAACAACACAGCAATTGAAATATGTCTTACTTGTTTTGGTGGAAAGTAAGGAAAAAGAGGGAGACCCCCCAACAAGATGGATCAGCAGTGGCAGCAGCAGTGGATTGTGTGAGACTGGCGCAGGACCGGCGGTGGGCGGTGTTTCGCTCTGTTGTGCATGGTGTCACGCTGTGAGTCGGAAGTGACTTGATGGCACCTAACAACAACATATTCATTGAATGAGGAAAATCGGAAAGACTAATACTAGTGATTGAAGGCCCTTTTTTTTAACCAAAAACCTATCTCTACATTTCAAAAATAAAGCATTCTAAACAATTGACAAATGTTTACATTAAAACACGCAGAATTTAGATTCACCAGCAGCTATTTGGTTGTTGTTAAGTCAGTTCTGAGGACTCCTAGTGATCCTGTCTGTGTAAGGTTTCCCGAGGAGCGGCTGCTGAGTTTGAACCACTGACCTTGAGGTTCAAACCGACTTTATGGTCAAGTGCGTATCCTACCCTACCTACAGCGCCACATCCGCAATTAGACACGGCAGATACGGGCAAAGAAAGTAAAGTGCATCTTTACAGCATATAATGCAGAAATAATTTATTTAAATGTATCCAAATGTACTCAACATAGTTAGACAGAAATGAAAAAAACATTCCAGTTAAAACATTACGATTTTTCAATACATCGGAGCGACGTTATATGTATGTTTTGATTATTTTAAATCATCTTTCTTGGTAAGTGCCATTGACTCATAGCGACCCTGCATAACGTCTCCGAGGCTATAAATCTTTGTGGAAGCAGAAAGCCTCATCTTTCTCCTGCGGAGTGACTTGAACTGCAGATCTTGTGATTCACGATTCAGTGTGGATCCTGCAGAGTTACTGTGCTCCCATTTTAATTTGGAATATTAATAATTGCCTGGCTCCGCCTGGAGCCTGGTCCCTGTTCTGGGTAACCAGGTACCGGGATAGTTCGTCCTGCCCCTTAGTTCATCCTGCCCCCCATCCTGCTTGCCTTATGATTTATTGTGAATGTTAGAATGACACCCCCCAAGCCACATACATGCTAACCCCCACGTCGCATATGTGGCTAAATTTATCAAGAAGCAGTATAAGTTTTCATCTTGTCTAGATGGATCTGGTGAAAAGAGATGGGGATAAGATACTTATTATTCAATGATGAGTAAAAGTTATCATGATTAATTGCAACTGTAACAATTGTAAAGGTAGAAGTTTATAACAAAAATGGGAGACTAGTTAATCTTACAGTCCAGAAACAAAGGACCCTAGGACCATCAAGGGAGAAGAGCACAATGGATAAGGAATACGGGACTTTATCCAGAGAAGCAGCGGTACCAGTGATGGCGGCAGAGATGGGACATGGAGAAAGGGAGCAGCTGAGGACTCTAGACTCATGGGAAGAGAGGGACTGCGAGCTGGCAGCCAGAAGGCAGACTTGCAGAATGTGCCCTTTTGTGGTTTAAATTATTACATATGCCTGAATGCTTATTAAAAAAAAAGAGCTAAAATGAATAGCTGTTCACCGATGGTTGTTGTTATTATGTGCCGTGGAGTCGGTTCTAACTCATAACGACCCTGTACAGGGTTTCCGAGGCTGTAAATCTGTACGGGATCAGAAAGCCTCATTTTTCTTCGCAGAACAGCTGGTAGTTTCAAACTGCTGACCTTGCGGTTCGCAGCCCAATTCGTAACTGATGGTGTATGGAGGGAATTCTAATCATTGTAATGAAACAAGGAGTATGCTTTGTTGAATATAAAACTGATGATCTGTCCTGTAAACGTTCACTCAATTCACAATAAAAGCTTATTTTAGAAAAAAAAGAAGCAGTATAAAAAGTGCTTGTGGGTTAGAGAGGTCTGTCCACCATGGAATGATCAATGATTCAAAATGAAAAGCACAACATTTACCTAAGATCACAGTTCAGAAGGCAGATGGAACGGAATAAGAACTACAGAGAGGAAGTGGGGTAACTTGCAATCATTGAGATGAAGCACAGTGTGTGATTTGTAGCCTCATAAAACTAATGATCTGCTTTATCAACCTTCACTCTGTTCACAATGGAAACTTACAAAGGAAAGACAGGAAGGTCAGTCAGGGCAGCGGTGGGGCGGGCGGGCGGGCGAGCGGGGTGGGGCGGTACTGTGCAGGGCTGGAATGATGCTCAGCGAGGGCCTCTTTTATATCAGAGGGGTCTGTCCCCACTGATGCTCGCCACATCCCCAGAACCTCCACCCCAATAGCTCCCGTCCCAGTAACCATCCTCAGGGGTAAACCAGGCCACATTCCCAGTAGGCAGAGGTGATTCCGGGGTAGACTTCTCCCCTTTCGTGCGGTCAGAGTAGCCTGTGGCTGGGACACTAAAAGGACTTCAGCGGAGCTTCCTCTTGTGAAGGCTTGGTGATCAACTTCAGAAAATCAACCCATGAAAGCTCTCTGGACCACACAGGTCCAATCTGAAACTGATCGTAGGGACTGAGTTTCGTATGGTTGTGCAGGAAATCGACAGGAATCCTATCAGGGAATGACCACAACAAGCTGAAAGCCCACCAGGCTGAGCAGAGGACCTACGTTTGTGTCCATCTGGCCTTCGGTCGACCGGGTTACCACAGTCCTCATAGCACTCTTGGTGGCATTGCACGATGATGTTGCGAGGCTTGGCCCCATTCACCATGCAGCGCCGAGCCCAAGACCAACGAGCTCAGCCGAGCTCCAACGGGCCCGGAGCTACACGCGCAGGCGGTAGACCAGGGGAACAATGTGTACCTCTGGAAGGTCCCTGCAGGTCCAGTCCTACACTGACCACTGCTTGGTGACTGGGGTCCCAAGCTGCTTCGTGGAGCAGAAAGCCACAAACAGAGCTCAAAGTTGGGGACCATGAGCCCCAATGTCCGATGTCCAAAGATGCAAAGCTAACTGTGGCTGCCTTCCAGGCATGGAGAGCTATGGTCGGTACTGGAATGGTATTCACGGAGATCAGTGCATGGGTGGGGACAACAGATGCTACCCGGACGCATGCAAGGAAAAGGATAAGGAAATATTGGAGGAGTGGGAGTGGGCAGGGAACTCAGGGAGCAGGCCTGACAAAGGTCGCGGCCGTGTGGAGGTCAGGCGGAAGGCAAGGAAAAGGCATAGGGATGCAGATTAAGAAAGCCTCCCCAGAATGGGGTACACATGCAAGGCGAAGATGTTGAACTGGGAGGGATACGGCAGGGTGTGGAATGGGAGTCCCATAATGTGTGATGTGGGTGCTCAGCAATGTCAATGTCATGGGACACACACACCCCACCGCCGTGACCCGAGCGCCCAGTCATATACTAGAGGTCTGGGCCCGAGGAAGAAAGATGAGGCTTTCTGCTTGCGCAGAGTTATAGTTACAGCCTTGGAAACTCTATACAGGGTAGCTCTGAGTCGACAGCCTTTAACAGCACCCTGCTCCCTCTAGTTGTACCCCCAGGTCCCAGGAGTTCCAGCCACATCCCGAGACCCTGTCCCCTCCCAGGCAGCACGTCTCCGTCCCCTTTCCTAGATGGGGAGGGAAGTCTAGTGGATACGATGTGGGCTCCTTGGGCACCTCAGGAGGAAGTTCAGTCCTTGATCTGCAGCCAGAACCTCCAGCAAAGACTGTGCGGAGCATCTCAAAACAGAAATATCTCTGGTCAACATCGACCACCAGAAATCAGAGTCATAAATTCCAAGAAGTCAGGCCTGATTCTGCCATCTGTCCGCCACCCCCCCACCCCACCCCCACTCATCACAAATACCAATTGCGGACGTTATTCTTAAGCCCCAGTGTAGTAAATCAGCGACGCTGTATAGGGTTTTCAAGAAGCGGCTGGTGAGGTTGAACAGCCCATCTTGTGGCTCAAACCGACCTGACAGTCAAGGGCTTATCTTACAACGCCACAAATGGATTCTGAGACTCCGTATAGAGTTTCTGATGTTACAAATCTTGACAGGAGCAGAAAACCTCATCGTTTTCCCATGGAGTGGCTAGTGGGCTTGAACCATCGATTTTATGCTTCTCAGTCCATTGCTAATCTACAGAGCCACCGTGCTCCCACACATATGAGGATACATGCAGAATTACACTACAAAATCATAGAATTTTGCGTTTTATTTCACATTTTCTTCCACTCTATCTAGGTCCTTCTAATGCAAAAGGATCCGTAACTTTCTGTTAGTTCAAGCAGGTACCACCTGGTTCTTCTGGTCTCAGAGTCACGGAGCTGGACGTTCACACGATCCATTCGTCTACTGAACTAATTATACCAAAGTGTCTTCCATTCTCATCTCTCTTATTTCATCTGGACAGGGAGAATTCAATGCTTGCACCTTCGATAGCTGCTCATGAACTTTTTTTTTTTTTTAATGTTTTCTTGTGAATTATGTGATAGTTTACATGGGAGAACATTAGCTTTACAATCATCCTATAGTATATCGTTTCATTGTCATGCTTACAATCCCCTCCACGCACCATCAATTAACCAAAGGGTATACACTGTAAGCCGCGCCCCCCACCCTTGATCCCTCAAAGACTAATGGACAAGCTTACACTGGGCCAGTAGGGAGGACCACCCAGGTGTGGCACACTGAGGGAGTGTTGCAAGATGCTCAGAGTATCTGAAGATCGCTTAGGATCTGGATATATATGGAATTACCTATTTTGAGATAAATAAATAAAGTAAGAAAGGAAAAGGCATTAGGCTTGGAGTTGAAGCCCTTGGGCTGAACAGTTAGGAGAAAGAGGATAAGTTGACCCCCAAACTAGCTTCCCTTGGAGTGAAATCAGAAACATTTCTTTCGGTGACAAAGAGTTTGTGATTAAAGCCAACGACAAGAAGGCAACTGCCTTGGTCATCTCCGACCCCTGTGCACGTACAACGACAGCTGTCTGTACGCTAACGCCACCGCAAACCACGACTGCGGTGCAGCGGACGAAGGCCAAGCCCGCAGCAGCCAGAACAGAGAAGAGCGGAGAGAAAGAACAGACGGTGCGGAAGGGAAGGAGGGCTTGACCGGCGGAGAAAGGACTCCGACCAGATCCAGGGAGCCCCGCCGTGGCCTGGAGGAGGTAGCAGCCCAATTCGCGCGCTGAGGAATGGCCCAGGACAACCTGGTGGAAGCCAAGTGGGCGGAGGTTGCCCGCACCATGTAGGAACCGATGAATTACCAGGAGCAGGAGAGCCCGCAGGAGTAAGCGCCGAGTACACGAGCTACCCCGCCCAGCTCGCCTGCGAGGGCGGCAGCAGCTGCGTGGAAGAGGGCGTGGGGCGGGGCCACTGTGAGAGGGCCGGCTGACAGCCGACCCAAAGAGAGAACAAGGGGATGGGGGGAGGGGTGCTGATCGTGTGGGCTGAGTCGCAGTAATGGTAGCGGGGCGTGACTGACAGTGTGGGGCGGGACCACGAGGAGAGTAGGGCGGGGCTGGCAACGTGGGGCGGGGCCATGGTGAAAGAAGGGCAGGGATGACATTAGGGTGGAGCCACTGGGAGTACTGACAGAATGTGGGGCGGGTGAGAACCGGGTGAAGAGTGCTACCCCTGACAGAGAAAGCCAAGGCGGACGTAGGGGAGCGTTGAAGATGCCACCACGCCTTAGTACTCCCGAGAACTGAGTACCGCTCGCTCAGGGTCCACTCTGCACCCACCTAGGGGAGGGAGGTGGCATCTCAACCACGAGGTCTTTTCACCTGTGCCATAGGTACCTGAATGAGCTTCCCTGGTTCCACGAACTCTGACCAACAAACTGTCCCAGGCCAGAGACCGGAATCAGAGGATGCACAATGAGGACATCATCCATGGCAAGGACATGTGGACAGTAGGAAGCCGAGGACTGATGAGTTTCAGGCCATGTAGACGCAGGACTGGGGATAGGCAGGTCGAGGGTCACTGTCGGACACCCATAGCACGTGGTTTTCTCATCTTCTCCATCTAGAACCCCTGCATCATGTTCCAGTTTCTTTACAAAGCTAGTCGTTATTTCCGTGGAGTTGGGGGCCAGGGAACACTTCCCGGGTTGGCTTCAATTTGATGAACTTGACCTTTGCTTATGGATGCAGTTGCTCAAAATACCAATTGAGAGGGAAGGAATCTTCATATCAAGGATCAAGCCTTTCCCCTCAGTTCACAGGGTTGATACGGTGGGCATTTGGCTACCTAAAATGGGGAGGGGGAGAGGGGGCTATAAAGACACAAAGTGGCTGGCTTACAAGTATTCAAGAGGCAGTTTAGTTTCAGAGTGGGGGGGAAGGCATGTAGAATCCTCACTGAATAGTTTTCATCTTGCCTAAAGGGATCTGGTGAAAGAAGATGGGGATAGGATTCTTTTGATTAAATTGTGAATAATTGTTATCATGACTAATTGCTTTTGTAACAAAAGATGGGGAGTAGTTAGTTATTCTTACATTCAAGGAACAGAGGACCCTAGGTCCACCAAGAGGGAACAACATGAGCAGAATGTGGGAACCTAACCAGAGTAGCAGAGATGGAGGCAGAGAAGATGGCATGGAGAGGTAGAGCAGCTGAGGACACTAGACTCAAGGAAAGACAAAGACTGTGTGTTGGCAGCCAGGAGGCTGGCTTGCAACATGTGTCCTTTGGTTGTTGAAACAATTGTATATTCCAAGTAGTTTTGTGTACAAAATAAAGAGGGAATAGAAGCAAATACTGTTAACAAATGGTACATGGAGGGGATTATCATTGCAGTGAAACAAAATATGATTGATTGGCTGAGTGCAAAACTGATGCTCTGCCACGTAAACTATCACTCAATTCACAATAAAAGCTTAAAAAAAAAAAAAGAGTGACTTAATTGTTTCTCCATGGGTAGCATCTATTTAGGTAAGAAGCAATAATTTTTTTTTCTTGGTTTTTTTTTTTTTTTAAGGTACCATGTGGTTATCTTTAATTGTATCGAATCTTGTCACATCACATATGCTGACACAAAACTTGCTAGTCAAGTTCTGATCATCAAGCCATCGAAGCTAGGTCAAATGGGTGCTATTTGCAAGTTTGGGCATTCTTGCATGCCTCCCCCCGATTTCAGATCAGCTGGACACTTCATTCTCAGCTGTAGTCCGCAGTGGTGAGGTCAGTGTCCCTGGACTCAGGAGTTCCCAAGTCTCCCCAAACTTCAGACCATCCAGCCCTTCCTCTTCTCTAGCTCATCTCAAGGTCGACAGGAGTCTATAGAACATGGTGGAACTCAGCCCATATCTTCATTGTTGCTTTTCCCCCACTTCCACTCACAAGTAGACCAATGTGGTCACCAGTGAGCTTACACATCTGCTCGTGTGTTCCCTTTGAGTTTCCGTTTTGGAAGGGGGGTTTCCTAAAGGGTCTTGATGGCTCCCAGGCGAACAGTTTGCTTGTTCTTGTAATAGCCAAAGAATCCACATTTTTTCTTTTTCTTTTTTTTCCTGCTGGTCTTTCTTTCAAGAAGTATCTTCTGTTCCTCTGGCTGCTCTGGGTTGGTCTGCATGTCCTTCCAGGTGGGAACGTCCCACCTCAGAAGATTCTGGATGGGGCTCAGGATTTCATATAAGGTCCTATACTCTACAAAGGCTCAACATGAAGCCTACTTCACTGGACAAATTCTAGAACCTTTTAGGTGTTCCAGTCCATTATAGACTGAAGAAAAAGTCTTACAAATGTTCTGTAGTCATGTTTCCTGATAATCTTTTTGATCCCCCTCAGATGTCTATTTTACATATAGTAGGCAGGGGAAACAAATATCCACAAGACAGTCAAGCACCTTAACATTATTCCCCCCCCCTTTACCCACTCAGGTGGTGTCTCAATCCTGTATCACAGAGCCCTATTGTTCCAAGTTTGAGTTGTTGTTGTGAAGTGCTGTCGAGTCAATTCCGACCCATAGCAACCCTGTATAGGGTTTCCAAGGAGCAGTTGGTGAGCTTGAACTGCCGACCTTGCAGTTCAAATGGCTTTGCAGTCTGGCACATTAACCCACAGTGCCACACCAGGACTCCAAGGTTGAGTTGTTGTTGTTGTTGTTAAGTGCCATTGAGTCGGTTCTGACCCATAGCGACCCTGTACAGGGTTTCTGAGGGTGTAAATTTTTATGGGAGTAGAAAGCCTCATCTTTCTTCCGCGGAGCGGCTGGTAGTTTCAAACCGCTGACCTTAAGGTTCGCAGCCCAATTCGTAACCACTACGCTACCAGAGCTCCTTCCAAGGTTGAGTACACATCCCTATTTACCTCTGTCCCATTTAGCCCATGCAAATTACTTAAGTGTTTTCCTATCTTCTTTGTTCTTCCCCTACTCTCCCTCCTTCTTGTGTATTGCCCTCCCCTTGCGATGGGGTCCAAGGAAATGCTGCCCCGTAAACAGTGTTCTCTATGATATTGAGGGAACAGCATCCTTCTCATTTATCCAGCACCCCACACGGTGCTGTAGGATCAACACTGGACTGCTAACCACAAAGTCAGCAGTTCAAACCCACCAGCTGCTCCTTGCAAACCCTATACAGGGTAGCTATGAGTCAGAACCGACTCGATGGCACTTAATAATAACAACACCCCAACCAAACCCAAAACAGCTCAGTTGGTTTTTTTTTTTTGTTTTTTTTTGGTTAACACCTTGATAGGTTGTTGTTGAGGTGAATCAGAGAGGGTCTTGGAATCCAGTTTATAATTTATGAATTTCAAACCACCTGCAAATGCGTTTGGAGGCTCCATTGCCTTAAGCAGGTAGTTTTAATAAATATACAATAAATATTTAATAAATGTGGCATTGTAATATAAGTGCTGAACCACAAGATTGTTTTAAACCACAAGGTCAGCAGTTCAAACTCACTAGCCGCTCCTCCACAATCTTATACAGGGTCTCCATGGGTCAGAACCAACTCAATGACACTTAAAAACAACACAAATATATATTCAGTACATGGGAGGTTTTCTTTTAAAACAAACAAATGATACCAACTGCATGGAGTCTTGGTGTGGAGCTGTAGGGTAAGCACTAGACTGCTAGCAATGAACTAAACACGAGATTGACAGTTCAAACCCACCACCTGCTTCTTGGAAACCCTGCACAGGGTTGCTATGAATCGGAACAGACGGCTCTTAACAACAATAACAAATGTATAGCAAGTCGAATACAGAACTGAAGTATGTGTAAGTTTTTTCTTTTATGGGGAAGATGTTGTAGAGGGTCTTCTAGCCCCTTCCCTGGTGCCCATGAGCTGGACAACTTTGGACAAACCCCTTTCCCTCTCTAGTTCTTATTTTGCTCATTTGAGAATAAGGGTTTTAAGAAAATCTTATCAGAGGCCCCATCCAACTCTAGAAATCGGAGCCCAGTCATTTCAAAGGAATTGGAATAACTCGGTCCATTTTCACACAAGCTTTGTTATTGGGGGCTCTCTGTGATTCAAAGCCATCAGTCACTCCAACTAAGAAAGATATGGCTGTCTGCTTCCGCAAAGGTAACAACCAAGGAGAGACAGTTCTACTTTGTCCTAAGGGTCACTGTGTGTAGTAATTAGTCCTGTGGCACTGGATTTTTGCACTTGTCCATTTTACCAAGGAGGAAACTGAGTCGTTCACAGAGGTTTCCCAGTTTTCATTTTGCCATAATCCGTGGCGATTTCTGGGCTGGCTAGCCTCTTATGAGAAAAATAATCCTTATGGGGGGAAATAAGGAACCCTGGTGGTCTAAGGATTAAAGTGGTCAGCTGCTAACTGAAAGTTCAGCCGTCAAACCCACCAGTTGCTCCAAGGGAGAAAGGTTAGGCAGTCTGTTTTCATAAAGGCTGATGTTGTTAAGTGTTAACCCTATTGGACAATTCTACTCTATCTTGGAATGGAGCTGTAGGATAAAGCGACCAGAAGATTGGCGGTTCAAACCCACCAGTTGCTCAGCAGAAACCCTCTACAGGGTGGCCGTGAGTTGGAACCGATTGGTGGTGGTTGGTGGTGATGTGCCGTGGAGTCGGTTCTGACTCATAGTGATCCTGCACAGGGTTTCCGAGGCTGTAAATCTTTATCATGCTGGTGGTTGTATTTGACACATGACAACACTATGTGTAAATCTTTATGGGAGCAGAAAGCCTCATCTTTCTCCCACGGAACAGCTAGTAGTTTCGAACTTCTGACCTTGCAGTTCGCAGCCCAATTCGTAGCCACAATGCTACCAGAAGCGATTAGATGGTGCTAAACAACAACACATAGTGTCGTCATGTGTCGAATACAACCACCAGCATGATGTGGAGGGAAATGGGTTCTGTCGAAGCAGAAGTCTTGGGGGAAATAACGCCGGTTCTAACAGGTTCCAGCAGAGTCCTGGTGGAGAGCTGTGGGTTAATGTGCTGCATTGCAAGGTCGGCAGTTCAAGCTCACCAGCTGCTCCTCGGAAACCCTATACAGGGTCACTATGAGTCTTAGGCACTTAACAACAACAACAATCAGTTCCAGCAACAACTTTGTGCTCCAGGCCAGACCTGGTTCAGTAGTGTTCAAGGCCCCAAGCTTTATTGTGATGCTGATTTGGGGGTAGAATTTTTACCAACACCCAGAAGTTCTCTCCAAATCATTCTCAACCAGGTGGCTATTGATGTATGCCACTGTTCAGTGGGCAAAATGCTAAGAAAGTCTGACTCCCACTGTGCAAAGACAGGCAATGGAGCCAAAGGACATTGCCTTCATTCTGGGCTGGGGGCTTAGCAATGATGATAAATGCTCTGCTTCACCCCCACCAGGCAGCAACCTCCATGTGCTGGAACGAAAGAGGGAAACCCCAGAAAAGGATTGTGAAAAAAAGCTCAGCTAATGTTCAATTCAAAATGAGGCCACAAGCCCAGTCCTTCTGGCATTTGAGTCCCAGACCCTTGGGGACCTGTGTGGCTTGAGCCAGGCAGTGGTGGTAACCTGGACCTTTACCAAGCTGCTTACACCCTTCACAGGAATCCCTAGCTATTTCTCCCCAGGACCAGTCAGCCAGCTCAGCCCTGCCAGGACCACATCACAAGAAGCCTCGAAAGATGAAAATCAGGCCAAAATAACACATTGGAGATTGAGGGTGTCGAGGAAAATGCCAGGCATAGCCCCCAGCAGCATTCTGTCTGACCAAGAGCAGGACCCCTACCGCAGGGCTACACTGCCTCACAAAATCCTCCACGTAGTATAGCCTTTATTTGCAAGCCTGACTGCAGGAGTTCGAATCCCAGCTTCACCACAGTGCCATTTTTGTGGACCTCCATTGCTCATCTGGAGTCCTGGTGTGGCGCTGTAGGATAAGCACTGGATTGCTAAACGACAAGGAGTCAGGATAAGCACTGGCATGAGATCAGTTTGAACTCAAACCCACCAGCTGCTCCTCAGACATCCAATACAGGGCCCCTGGATGAGTCAAAAGGACTCCATGGTACTTAACAGCAAGCTGCTCGTCTGTGAAATAGGAGGAAATAGAACATATGAAGAGACCTGTGAAATTTCAGGCCAGAACCACCACAGTGTCCCCAGGAGCCTGCTCCAGCAGAAGTGTGTGTGTGTGTGTGTGTGTGTGTGTGTGTGTGTATTGGGGGTGGGGTGAAGAAGTGGGAGTGAAGGTTTCAGCCACAGCTGCAGCCCCCAACCCGCAGCTCTTGAGGTACGCCCTCCAGCGTAGTCGCTGCTCTCCTTCTGGGTGCCCTGCATTTATCCGGGTCCTTTCCAATTTAACGCTGCAAGAGAGGGTAATTAAGTTTAGTAGGAGCCGACATCGATTTAAATCTCTCGGGGAAGTCATTAGATTTAACAGAAGCTACGACTTTCTGAACCAAGACAAGCAGTGTAGGGGTGCCTGGTCGCGAAAGCCTTTGAAAAAATGTGGATTTGTAAAGCCTTTCCTGGAAAGTCTCTGCGCGCGGTCATTAACGCCTTTCATCCAGCGCTCGCTTTTGGCCTCACCTCATTGAAATTCATCAGGCCACGTTGGCTCCTCCCACCCCGATCTCTCCACCGTGCGCCGTCCCATCGCATTTGCGCTGGGCCACAAGGGCTTTCCCTCAAAACCAACCTCTGGGGCCCCCCATCCACTCCCACTGCCGGGTGGAGTCTATTCTGAGTCATACCAACCCTGTAGAACTGAGTAAAACGACCCCATAGGGCTTCCCTGGCTGTTATCTTAATTTAAAGGGGAAAACTGCCACGTCTTTCTCTCAGAGTGGACTGATGGGCTGGAACAACCCCAGCAAAGCGCTTTAACGACCCCGCCACTAACCAGAGAAGGAGTTTGTGTTAAACGCAAAGCGCTCAGAAAGAACCTTTCCCAACCCCCGTCCCCCGCGATCTTTGGGCTTTTTTTCCCCTCGGAGCTTTGGTGTGTGAGGCGCAGGTTTGCATGAAACAATCGACTGAGTGTCCGGATTTCTGCCCAACCCGGCCGTGCCCTTCACTTGTTTCTCTGTTCCCCACTCTCTCCCCTCCACCCTACGTAGATCAGGACCCCCGACCGAGCTACTTTCTCTGTCCTGGTAGACTGCGTGCCCCAAGCATTCAGGGACCCAAAGACCCTATGAAAAAGACATAAATCAAAACAAAACAAAAAAAAAACAAATCCATCGCTATTATTGGGTTTTGTCCCCAGATGACAAAGAACTGCCCTATAGGGTTTCCAAGGTTGTCATCTGTATGGAAGCAGACTGCTTCATCTTTGTCCCCAAGAGCGGTTAGTGGGTTGGAACCTCTGACCTTTCGGTTAGCAGCCTAGCGCTTAACCACTGTGCTACTAGGGCTTCTTATGAAGGGATCTACAAAAACACAAAAAGACCCTATCCTGCCTCCCTCCCCCCCTGAGTCCAGGCCCGAACTGTGAAGTGGGGTAAAAGGAAACCACAACCCAGAGCATGCAAGCCCACCGTGCCCCGAAGGTCGTCTTCACAATGACAACCTCCAGGTTCACCTCCGGGGGCCCGGGACAGGGACCAGAATCCCGGGGAGCGCAGAGATCATGCCGAACCTGGAGCCGGAGCGCCCCCTAGCGGCGGCGCGCCCGAGGCGTGCCCATTGTTTCAGAGTGGCGGTAGATCGCGCCTGGCTGGCTCCCCGTCGGTGACAATTTCCGAGGAGAAAAGGGCTCGCGCAAAGATGAAGCTGGGAAGCATGAGAGGGTCGGAACTGCAGAGAGAGACTCTAACAGACAGTTTTTAAAGTCTGGGAATGTGTTGGGGACTAGGGACAGTTCGGGGCGGGGGCTACGGGTGGACTGTTAGGGGAGGGGACCTTAAAGTCGGATCCAGGCTGTTCCGGACCAAGGATGAGAAAAGCAAAACTCAATGACGTCTATCTCCTCTTCTAGGATTCTTGCCCCGGCTCTGCTGGCACCCCGCGCCCCGCGCCCAGCGCATCCCTGGGCAGTGGCCGGGCTCGGCGGTCCAAGTTCGCACTTTGTCAAATCTAACGCCCCAGACCGGATGGCTCAGCCTCCCGCCTGCAGGGAGGAGCTCCCCAGACCCTCTCGCGATCCGGGCCTCCTCCTCCCCGCAATCCCGGCGGCTGGGGCGGGGTCACCAGGAAGGAGGCGGGGGCGGGGTGTGAGTGGGTGTGTGCGGGGGGCGGGGGTCTGATGTAATCCCGATAAGAAATGCGCGGGTGTCGCGGGCATTTGCACCCCCCGGCTGATAAGGCGAGCTATATAAAGCCACTGCCCGTGCCGCCGCACCGTCGGAGCAGGAGCGCAGCGCGCCCAGGATTCCCGAAGCGCGCGGTTGCTTCGAATCTCCCTGCAGTTCCACTCCGCACGCCCAGTCCAGCCCGCAGCGCCTCCAGCCACCCGGAGCCGAGGGAGGTGCCATGTGGAGCGCTCTAAGCAGGCACACCCTGCTCGGCGCCCTGGCCCTGACCGGCCTCTGGCTGGCTGCAGCCGGGCGCCCGCTGACTTTCTCGGATGCTGGACCGCACGTGCACTACGGCTGGGGTCAGCCAGTCCGCCTGCGGCACCTGTACACTGCCAGCCCACACGGCCTCTTCAGCTGCTTCCTACGCATCCGCGCCGACGGCACCGTGGACGGCGCGCGGGGCCAGAGCGCGCACAGTGAGTGCCCGCCGGGTCCCCACTGTTTCCTGTCCCTGCACCCCTCTCCCCAACTTCCCATGGCTCCTGTAAACCCCGATTCCCGGGAACTCCTCCACGTTCCGCTGTCTCCCCAGACCCCCGACAGCGCGCGGAGCGAGGGAGGGAACAGTGATTTAGGGACGACGACATCCACGCGTTGCGCGCCAGTGGGCCTCGGCTGCAGTTTCTTGCTTTCCTTGTGCGCAGGTTTGCTTGAGATCAAGGCGGTGGCACTGAGGACCGTGGCCCTCAAAGGAGTGCAGAGCGCGCGCTACCTCTGCATGAGCGCCGACGGCCAGCTGCAGGGACTGGTAGGTGTCCCTATAGGGCGGGACGCGCCAGACCCACGCCTGGCCCGGGCGGGAGCGGAGGGAAGGTTCTGGATGAAATCCAAAATTGCTTCGCCTCCATCCCCCGGAGGAGGAGATTACAAGGGCGGATTAAGCTCTATGCGACTCCTTCCCACTCCCACCACCCCCCTCCACGGAAGTGGGTAAAGGCTGCTGTAACCCGAGAGCTGATGAAGGCCATGTTTACATTTCCAACTGAACCCTAAACCGGCCCCGCGCCGGGAGGAAGCCATTATCCGCTTCCTTTGATATTAAACAGGAAAACCCACCTCTGCCTATTCAGCCTCAGCCTGTGTGTGGGTGGTCTCCCTCCGTTTCCCACCCTGTGGTTGAGACTGAGAAGGAAAAAGGGGTTGTATATTCCCTCATAACTTGGATTTTAACAACAACAACAACAAAAGATATGTTTCAAACAGATCAGGCACGTAGGAGATTGACTAGAATTTTTCAAATTCATTTCTTAACATATAACGAACAAATTAAATTAATTTTAGTGGAGACGTTTCCCTCTTATTTGGACTCATCTGTATAGGAATCCTTTTTTGGGGCGGGGGAGGAACTAAGGGGGGGAGGTGTACATGGAGTCTCCCCAGGTGGTGCCAACGGTTAGCACTCTACTGCTATCCCAAAAGATTGGTGGTTAGAATCCAACCAGAGGCGCCTCGGAAGACAGGCCTGGCGATATGCTTTTAAAACCCTGTGTAGTAGTTCTGCTCTCCGCTTGGGGTCGCCATGAGTCCTGATCCACTCCACGGCAGCTAACAACAACGTGGGGGGGGCGGGGAGAGCCCGAGAGGGGTGCTGGGGAAGACGCAGGTAACCACACAGGCTGGGCCTCTGGTCCTAGGGAAACAAAGGCGAGTCCAGGGGAGTTCAAAGGAACAAGCGTTTACCCACCCCCCACCCCCCACCCCCGCGCGGGGCCGCAGGAGCTGAAATCCCGGCCCCACCCCACCCCCCACGCAGCCCGGCTCGGATTGGGGGCGCGCGAATGGAGGGGCCAGCGGCAGGGGTGGGAGAGGCCCCGCTTCCAGGCGTGCTAGCCTACCCCGCCTCCCTCCCGCCCCGCACGCAATCAACCCTTTGTGAACCACAGCGCCAAGCTTTCTAGTGTCTTAAAATTGTTTTTGTGCCTCCGACGGGCATTTTATTCAAAGTCCCTCCGCTTCAAGTTTTATGACTGAGGCTTGTGTGAAAGGAACCAAAGAATGGAGGTGATGCGGCGGCGCACTAAAAGCCTCTGCCTAGAGCCACTCCAAACCCGCAGCGGCTACTTTTGTTAGGTTGACGTTTACTTATGACAGGGTCGCGCGCTAATGGTGGCCCGGGATGGAGGGTTTAACCCAACCTCCTTCCTTAATCCATAGGAGGGAGGGTGGGGAGGGGGAGAGGGGGCTCTCGTCACCTAACACCCGTTCCTTATCGCCCAATTCAGCCTCTGGATCCCGTGGGCGTGGCTTAGCAAAAATCGAGGGTTTTTTTTTTTTCCCCCTGAACCGAAATTCCACATCTTTAAAAAAAAAAAACCCTGCGTCCAAAATCATTTCACTTTCTGTATGGAGAAAGCCTTTGGTGCTAATTTCTCCCTCTCTCCTCCAAAGCATTAACAGATTAAATTTAGAGGTCACAAGGGGATTTTACTTCCGTTGTTTATCTATGAATTGGCATTTTAGTTTGGAAATTCAGAAGAGGTCATTCTTGCTGCCCTGTCTTTGTGGTGGCTTTGTCCCTGAGTCCTGAGGAATGTGTGGTTGCATCATTGGATTTATCACAGCCTTATCAACCCATCTCATCCACCTGTAGTTCAGTGACCTCTTAAACTTGGGACAGAAATGAAGTTGGGTGCTTCCTGGGGTTATATGCACCGCCCAGCCCTCCTGGGCTCCCCTGGCTTTAGTGCCTGGAGATAGGGCTGGCTCATTGGCACCTCTCCCTTCCGTGGACCCCCCCAAACTTGTTACCAGAGTTGATTCTGACTCAGACGAGCAGAGAACTGCTCTATAAGGTTTCCTTTAGGAGAGCAGACAGTCTTGTCTTTCTCCCAAGGAGCAGATGATAGGTTTCAATGGCCAATCTTCGTTAGCAGCCAAGCGTTTAATCCAAGGAGCTCTGGTAGCGTAGTGGTTGCGAACCGGAAGGTCAGCAGTTCAAAACTACCAGCTGTTTCGCAGGAGAAAGATGAGGCTTTCTGCTCCCATAAAGATTTACAGCCTGGGAAACACTGTACAGGGTCGCTATGGGTCGGAACCGACTCCACAGCACACAACCATCAATCAACTGGGCCCTTACAATGTTTAAAGCCTGTAATCTTTACAGAGGAATTTTAGTGTGGTGCATAGAATAAGCACTGGAATGCTAACTTAAAAGTCGGAGGTTCAAACCCACCAGCCACTCCTTGGAAACCTATACCCAGTCGCTACGAGTAGGAATTGACTTAGCAGCAACAATCTTAAAGAAGTAGTTTGTCACATTTTTTCTCTCTTGGAGGGACTACTGGATTTGCAATTTGCACCTTTGGGTTAGCAGCCCAGTGCTTAGTCAATGCGCCACCAAAACTCTTTCTTAGGCTGCAATTGTCCTAGAACCAGGGTTTCTCTCATCAAGCATTTCCAGCCACCAGTAGGTGTGGCCTCTTTGGAGGCCTTGGGCTGCTATTATCTTGATATACCAGGCAGGCTCATAACAGAAGGGGTGCCTACAGGGTTTATAACGGCATCAGATGAGAAATCCCCACAATCCTGTTCTGGGTCTGGATGAAGAATGAATACATTCATCTGCACATGTTTTTCTGATTAAGTAATCGCGGACTCAGCCGCTCTGCAAGGAGCTCTGGTAGCATAGTGGTTAAACGAATCGAGCAGTTAGAAACTACCAGCTGTTCCGCTAGAGAAAGATGAGGCTTTCTGCGCCGGTAAAGATTTACAACCTCGCTGTGAGTCAGAACCAACTCCACTCCACGGCACATAACCACAGCCATCAACAGCAGCTCCACAGCATGCAGGTTCAAGTGGGGAACTCTAGAGGGCGCTTCTTAGTGTTTGCAGTGAAGGAATGGGATGGGGCCGTGTACGCATGCCTGTCTTTGTGCTGTTTGTTCTAGACATGAATCGATTTAATGAAAAATATTAAGGACTCGGGTAGCATGGTGGTTACGATTCTGGCTGCTAACTCAAGCTTAGCAGTTCGACACTACCAGCTGTTCCGTCGGAGAAAGATGCGGTTTTCTGCTCCAGTAACAAATTGTTGTTACGTGCCGTGGAGTCAGTTCTGACTCATAGCGATCCTATACGGGGTTTCTGAGGCACTAAATCTTTATGGGAGCAGAAAGCCTCATCTTGCTCCCGTGTAAGAGCTGGTAGTTTCAAACTGCTGACCCTGAGGTTAGCAGCCTGATTCGTAAATACTACGCTACCAGAGGAGTCCCGGTGTGGCGCTGTGGGTTAATGCGCCAGACTGCAAAGCTGTTTGAACTACAAGGTCGGTGGTTCAAGCTCACCAGTTGCTCCTTGAAACCCTATACAGGGTCACTATGGGTCGGAACCGACTCATCGGCACTTAACAACAACAACAACACTTAACTATGTAGATGAGTTCAGTGACTTTGTAGGACAAGAACTGGACTGTGAACCACAAGGTCAGAGGTTCCAGCTTCAAAAGCCCATGAGTGGGAGAATGATGAGGTTTTCTGCTCCTGTAAAGATCTGTTGTTAAGTGTAACCAGGTTGATTCCAACTCATAGCAACCCTGTATAGGGCTTCCAAGGGAGCAGCTGGTGAGCTTGAACTGCCGACCTTATCCTATAGCACATTGGGTTGTTGTTGTTGTTAACAGCCATTAAGTCCATTCTGACTACTAGTAACCCTGTATAGGTTTGTGCTACATGCATAAAATACATGTAGTATACACATTACCATAGGAGCTCTGGTAGCATAGTGGTTACGAATCAGGCTGTGAACCTTAAGTTCAGCAGTTCGAAACTACCAGCCGCTCCGTGGGAGAAAGAGAAGAGGAGGCTTTCTGCTCCCGTAAAGATTTACAGCCTCGGAAACCCTGTACAGGGTGGCTATGGGTCGGAACCGACTCGACGGCACATAACAGCAACAATAATTGTTGTTGTTGTTGTTAAGTGCCGTCGAGTCGGTTCCGACCCATAGCGACCCTGAACAGGGTTTCCGAGGCTGTAAATCTTTATGGGAGCAGAATGCCTCATCTTTCTCCCACGGAGCAGCTGGTAGTTTCGAACTGCTGACCTTGCGGTTTGCAGCCCGATTCGTAACCACTGCGCTACCAGAGCTCCTTAATATAGAGTATATATTGTTAAGTATTTTAACGCCTGGAAGTGATACTTACACATTGACAATAGTGGTTGGTGGCAGACCTTAGTGACAGTCTGTAGCATAAATAAATGTCCACTGTTTTCCCTCTGCTGCTTGGGGGTCAGACCCGCGCATGCCTCCTGACCACAGCCTGCGTGTTCTCTCTGCAGCCCCAGTACTCGGCAGAAGACTGTGCCTTTGAGGAGGAGATCCGGCCTGATGGCTACAACGTATACCTGTCTAAGAAGCATGGGTTACCTGTGTCCCTGAGCAGTGCTCGGCAGAGGCAGCTGTATAGAGGTAGGGGCTTCCTGCCCCTGTCCCATTTCCTACCCATGCTGCCTGAGGAGCCTGTGGAACCTGAGGATGACTTGGAATCTGTCTTCTCTTTGCCTCTGGAAACCGACAGCATGGATCCCTTTGGAATTGCCTCCCCCCTGGGGCTGGTCAAGAGTCCCAGCTTTCAGGAATGACTGAGGCTCTGCCCTACCCCCACCCCAACCCCCGGGGGCCAGGACCTGGGTTGTGGGGCCCCTGCAATGTGTGCTTGGGCCACAAGTGTATGAGAACATTCCTAGGTCCTTGTTCTAGTTAGCTTTAGGAAGAAACCATAGAGAGTGTACCTATCTGGAATTGTACATTGGTTGTACCCATTTGTAGCAGATAGATTTGTATGATCATGAAATCCTAAGCCCAGCTGCTGTCCGAGTACCCCACCCCACACCCTTAACCATGGACAATTTGGTGTGCTGCCCAGGTTCTGCTTGAATACCCCCACTGATGGGGAACTCATTCCCCTGCGGGGACAATGTTATACTATGCTGAAACTGTTTGTCATTCTCTCCCATCATCTCCAGCAGGGGTAGCCAGCAAAAGAATAGCAATTATTTTAAACTCATGTACGAGCTCTGTGAAATGCCAGGTAAAACTGACTTCAACTCTTAAACCTATGTGAAAATTGGACTCAACCCCAAGCCACTTGGGCCTCCCGAAGCACCTCTAGGCCAGGACTGAGCTGGAGTGGGTTTGATCCGCCAGCTCAGGAGCTGAGGAAGCACAGAGCCCTCCCCATTGCCAGCCCAGCTAAATCATGTTCAGCTGGGGCTGGGCTGAACAAACTGTTCCAGTCGACTTCTTGGTAATTTGTCCCAGGGCAGCTAAGATGGTCTGACTTTTGATACCTCTTGAAACACAGTACCCTGTTCATATCCAACTTCCTTGCCCAAGCTCGGGGCTAGGTCCCTAAAGGTGGATAGTCAGCCCCTGTCCCTACCGCCGATGACTTGATTCCGGATTTCCAGTGAATCCCATGGGCCCAGGTTGTGTGGATTTCATGTGAAGGACCCTGGGTGGTCCAGCCCTGCCGCACTCCACCCCTCCCCAGCTCTCCCACGCCCCGTCAGAGCTCTCCTGTCTTAAGAGCTGTGGGTCTTCATCTGTAAAGAACATGTCTCTGTTTTGAGGTTTGCCCACTTCTCTCCACACTGTGGGTCTGGATGGCACGGCCTCCCTCCTTGGGGGGACCTGTGTCTTCCCAAAGTCAGAAAGAGAAGTATTTGAAGCCCCAAGTCTTTTTCAAGGGGGTGGGGAGATGTGAGAGGTCTTATTTCCCCTAGCACTTACTACCCAGCGTGATATTTATGAGTAATTTATTTTGATATGTACATCGCTTTATTTTCTTACTTTATTTATACCCTCAAATTGTATTTATGTATGTACATGAGTCTTGTTTTCTACATTAAAGCAGAATTTGTATCAAAAGGTTATCACACTGGAATATTCTTGCGGGAGATACAAGGAGAGGTGAAGCAGGTGGGAGGCCCTTTCTGGATGCCTAATGCACTGTCTGGATTTACAACTTACAGTTCGCCCCTTGACCACTGTTACAGTCTGAGCTGAGAGTCAGGTGGGTTCATTAATGTCAGCGTGACCACCAGCTGCTGTAAAGATCATAGAAACTGCTCCACAGAGTGATTGGGCTGGTTTTCCAGAAGTGGATTGCCAGATATTTCTTCTGAGGTACCTCTGGGGGGGATTCTGGAAGCAGACAGCCTCGTTTTCCTCCGTTGGAGCAGCTGGTGGGTTTGAACAACCAACCTTGTGGTTAGCAACCCAATGCCGACCACACAGCACGAGCCAGCGGCTTACCCAGCTAGTGGGGAAGGCTGAATTTGCAGACCCAGATGCCTTTTCTTCAAAGCAGTCCTGTGGTGCCAGGCTTAAGCACCTGACTGTACACTGAAAAGGTAGATCCTTTGAACCCACCCAGGACTCCTGGAGTGGCCTTGTAGCATCAGTCCTGGACTGTGAAGTACAGAGTTGGCAGTTCACACCCACCAGTTGCTCCTTGGAAACCCTGTACAGGATCACTATGAGTTAGAACTGATTCTGTAAAGATGTCAGCTTGGAAACCCCATGGGGCAGTTGTCCTTTGTCCTGTCAGGTTGCCGAGTCAGCATGGACTGTGTTCCAGGCAGGAAGGAGGAATCACTGGGACATTAGTGCAATTCAGTCCACAACAGGACTTACACTGACCATCCTTAGGACTCAGATACTAGTCACAAGACAGACTATGCACCATCTCTAAACCGCCATTCTCGTGAAGCCGCTCTCCCACGTAAGGACTACTGGTGGCCCAGTGATTAAGCACTTGGTGCTAAACCAAAGGCTGATGGTCTGATGTTACCAGACTCTCTGTGGGAGACTATGACAGCCTGCATCCGAAGATTTCAACCTTGGAAGCCTCTTGGGAAGCTCTCCTCTGTCCTAAGCAGTGCCTATGAGTCAGAATTGACTCCATGGCAACAGATGTGATTTGGTGTGCACTGATTATGCCTTCAGCTATGAACTCAAAGGCCAGCGGTTCAAACCCACCAGTTAGTTACTCAGGGAGAAAAGACCTGGTTGGGGTGGGGGTGGGGTAGTTCCACTCTGTCATACAATGTCACTATGAGTTGAATCCATTAAAACAGTGACCGGAACAATGGGTTCGAACCTACGGATAACTCAGGACGAGGCAGTGTTTCCATTGTACACAAATAGGGTTGCTATTGCATTGGGCAAATCTGCTGCACAAGACGTCTGTAAAGTCTTGCAGAGCAAAGATGTCAGCTTGAGGACTAAGGTGTGCCTGACCCAAGCCATGGTATTTTCAATAACCTCATATGAATGCAAAAGCTGGACAGTGAATAAGGAAGACCATAGAAGAATTGATGCTTTTGAGTTATGGTGTTGGAGGAGAATATTGAAAATGCCATGGGCTGCCAAAAAAACCAACAGATCCGTGTTGGAAGAAGTGCAGCCAGAGTGCTCCTTGGAGGCCAAGATGGCCAAATTTCCTCTCTCATACTTTGGATATATTGTCAGGAGGGACCCGTCGCTGAAGAAGGAGATCATGTTTGGTAAGGTGGAGGGTCAGAGAAAAAGAAGAAGACCCCCAGTGAAATGGATTGGCCAAGTGGCAGCATCAATGGGCTCAAGTGTGGCAACAATTGTGAGATTGGCCCAGAACCAGGCAGTGTTTCATTCTGCTGTGCATAGGGTCGCTATGAGTAGGTACCAACTCAATGGCACCTAACAGCAACAACAGGGTGACTATGAGTTGGAACTGACTTGTCAACATGTGAAAACATCAACATGAGTTGTAATCAACTCACAAACACACAATCTCCCCATTCCCTTCTTTGAGACCCCTGCCATGTGACAGAACTGATTTAAGCCCTGGGCCGACTGAGCATCCACCCTTTTATGTACAGGTGACCAGAGACAGGATGTTCATCTGAAGTTGCAAAGCCTGGAAGCGGGTTAGTGGCTGTGGGGTCAGGTCGCCCTGCGTGGACGCTCAGGACTTGTTAGTTTGCTGAGGCACCTTGAGTAAATCACTGGATCTCTCTGGGCTACATTCTCATGTGGACTGTTCTGTGTTTGCCTACTTACCACCTGGCCCAGAGGAGAGAGTGCTGGCAGCAACCCTCACCTGTCCTGAGCTCTTTTCATGGGTTCTCATGGCAGCACCTGGGGGAGATGCACACATGACTGAAGCCCAGCTCCAGAGGTTATGGATTAATTGGAATGGGTGTTACCTGGACAGAGGGGGTTTTAACATCATCCACTCAAATCTACTGCACACGATCTCTTTAAAGCGTTGAAGAGGGAAGATGTCAGATTGAGGACTAAGGTGCTCTCATATGCATGTGAGCATTGGACAGTGAATAAGGAAGACCGTAGAAGAATGGATGCATTAGAGTTACAGTGTTGGAGGAGAATGTTAAAAGAACCATGGACTGCCAGAAGAACATACAACTCTATGTTGGAAGAGGTACAACCAGAATGCTCCTTAGAAGCCAAGATGGCCAGACTTTACTTCTCACACTTCAGCTATATTATCAGGAGGGATCAGTCCCTGGAGAAGAATATTATGCTCGGTAAAGTGGAGAGTCGGTGAAAAAGAGGAAGACCTCCAACAAGATGGATCGGCACAGTGGCAGCAGCTGTGGGCTCAAACATAGCAATTGTGAGGATGACAAAGGTCTAGACAGTGTTTTGTTCTGTTGTGCAGAGGGTCTCTCTGAGTTGGAGCCAAATCAGTGGCACCTAACAACAACCACCACCACCCTGTGATTCTAAATGGAGCCCTGATGGCTCTGTGGGTTAGGTGTTGGGCTGTTAACTACAAGGTCTGGGGTGCAAACCCATCAGCCTTTCCTGGAGAGAAAGCTGAGGCTCTCTGCTCCTATAAAACTTGACAGTCTTGAAACTCCATATGGATCACTCTGAGTTGGGATGGGATAGATGGCACTGGGTACCATTTTGTGTTTTGGTGACACTAATATGCAGCCCACCAAGACAGTACAGTTTCTACCCTTGTACTGAGGGTAATGAGGGCCTCCACTTCCCCAGTCTCCCCCTAAGGAGCAACCAACAGTTTGTGAACTGATTCATATTAGAGTGTTGATGGTTGATATCATCGCAGGGACCTGGCAGCCCCAAAGTCATGATGGCCGATAGTGGAGAAGGAGCAATGAATTTTTAGGGTTACATCTTAGCAGCATTTTCTGCTCCTCAGCTCGTCCTGCCTCTGCACCTGATAGAAAACTGCCCTTACCTTCTATCTGCTATACTTCCCTCCGCAGCTTTAGTTCTGATTGAAAGCTTGTATTTGCATACCAAAAGCCACACCCACTGCTCTGCTCTGGATTGTGACTCCCTAGCAGCAGCATGGAGTCCTGGTGTGGTTCAAACAGACTGCAAAGCAGTTTGAACTGCAAGGTTGGTGGTTCAAGCTCACCAGCTACTCCTTGGAAACCCTGTACAGGGTCGCTATGGGTCGGAATTGACTCGACAGCACTTGCCAACAACAACAACAACAACAGCAGCATTGTGGAATAGAGTAGAATGGCCTTATGGGGTTTCCAAAGCTGTCATCTTTATAGATGCAGAATCCATCATCTTTCAGTGGCTAGGTGGGCTTGAA